GAGCCCCCCATCTGTTCCAGGTCCATCCACACTTTAAAACCTGCTGCCTACAGGAACACATGTATCTGTCAATACAAACTCTAAGGGGAACACTGCATCTGTCAATACAAACTCTGAGGGGAACATAAAAGAGTGCAGAGGGGTTGATGCACAAATACATTTGCACTTTATAAATACATTTGTCAGTTTGCACTTTTTGTCCTGTCATGTGCAAAAGATTACATGTATATAACCGTTACGATATTTCCAACATTTGAGATAGTGAATTAATTTAAAGGCATCCCGTGCAAGTCTGAGGGGAACACAGAGTAGAACCCCCCTCTGTTCCAGGTCCATCCATACTTTGAAACCTGCTGTCAATACAAACTCTGAGGGGAACACCTGCATCTGTCAATACAAACTCTGAGGGAACGTAAAAGAGTGCAGAGGGGTTGTTGCACAAATAATTGTCAGTATGCACTTTTTATCCTGTCATGTGCAAAAGATTACATGTATATAACCGTTACGATATTTCCAACATTCGAGATAGTGAATTAATTTAAAGGCATCCCATGCAATTATATTTCAGGTTGGCAGTACAAAAAATATTCTGGAAAAGAAAATCTGTTTGTTACTGCCATTTTTTAGTACATTTTTGTAATCATTTTATACTTGAAGACTGTTTTGCCACCCTGAAATTGAATTGAATGCCTTAGTAAATTATCTCTGATAAACTCACTGTTTTTATCTCTTGAGACATAATGTATGTATAACTACATTGTTCACTATTAATCTGACATATTATCACTCATTTATCCTGTAAAATTAGAGATCAATATGATTCAAATCACATCATGTAATGACTTTATTGCAAAATCACATTTTAAGATACAACATGTAGCAACTTCTAATAACACGTAATCAAGACAATGACTCTAGGAAACCAATCTACTAATCAAGAGTCTATGTAGTATGAGATGAGACTATATAATATACAGTCAAACCTGTCCAAGCCGGCCACCCAGGGGACCAAGTAGTCTCCTAGAAGACTAGGTCACCTCACAACATGACTGAGACATAAATGGTTTCCGAGTCGAGATATTCTAATGTCAAATGCTGTAAATGCATGTGGAGAGAGTGGCACATGGAACATTTACGTCGAACAAAAACATTATCCAGCAGGAAAGAAAACTGGCAGGTTTCTCCATGTTGTCTCATTAGTTATCATCAATAATGATCGAAAATGATGTGGTCACCATGGGCAGGTATCAGGCCTTGAGCGGACCCAACTCACGGCGGTCGCGGTTGCGTTGGCCAGGTGGTCACCTTGGACAGGTTGCTTAATGCTTGTGTCAATGGTGAAAATTTTTGGGACTGAGAAAAAGCGGTCATCATGCATATGGACAGGTGGCCTGCTTGAAAAGGATAGTCTCCTTGGCAGGTTTGACTGTATATACAAGTACATGTACTGGATATAATATTCTTGAATGTTCTGATAAATACTGTACCTGTAGTTTCTTCTTGATGCTGACGAGAATTTTCTGGTGGTCCCATTGGTAACTGATCATGACATGTGGAAGTTGACGTTCTTTGGATTCTGAGTGGAGAAAAATGTACATGTGCATTAGGCCATGTTGATTTGATTATATGGATAGCATCCTCTGGGAACCCCAAAACTGATGCAAACATGTTCAATGGAAAAAAAAAGGTTGCCTTCATTATGAAAATTTGTGGCTATGAAGGTTGAAGAAATGACTATTAGTAAACAAACATGAGTATGGTGTGGCAAAAATATTGATTTTGGCATTCTATGACACATTAGTATTTTTTTCCAATATTTTCTTGATTTACGGCATATATTTGCTCATTTTGCAGCTACTTTGCACAATTTACAGTGTGGCCAAAAACTTTTGTAAAACGAACAAAAATTCATGCGGGCACGGATGTCATCCAACATGGCACAAAATCAAATCAACATGGCCTTATATCATAATTATAATGGTAGCGCTTCAATGTTTCAATACAATCATAATTCACAAAGCAGAAGTGCATTCTGGGTCTTACTTTTAGCAGCAGTCTTTGGTCTCTCCTCTCCTGTTTTCCTGATTACCCATAATGCACCGAGAGCAGCAGATTTGAGGGATTCATTAGTACTGGTCTCTAGTTTCTCCAGATTGGGCACAAGCTCTGGTTCCTGTGGGGAAATGAATGAATGAATGAACGAATGAATGAACAAATAGAATGAATGAATGGAGTGAGTGAGTGAGTGAGTGAGTGAGTGAGTGAGTGAGTGAGTGAGTGAGTGAATGGATGAGTGGATGGAAGGATGGTTGGATGGATGGATGGATGGATGGATGGATGGATGGATGGATGGATGGATGGATGGATGGATGGATGGATGGATGGATGGATGGATGGATGGATGGATGGATGGAAGGATGGATGGAAGGATGGATGGACTGATGGACAGTTGGACGGTTGGTTGGTTGGATGGATGGATGGATGGATGGATGGATGGATGGATGGATGGATGGATGGATGGATGGAAGGAAGGATGAATGGATGGATGGATGGGTGAAAGGATGGATGGATGGTTGGATGGATGGACGGATGGATGGTTGGGTGGATTATTTGAAAGGCCAATCTCCTTACTAGTATGTGCTTAACAGTCAAGAATATTCAGTTCTACATGTAGTTCTACAGACAATGCATGACAAGAAAAACTGCCCAAATGTCGTACCGCCATGATTTTTTCCCTGACGTCGTCATCAAACGCCAGTGTCCACACCGTGTTGGCAGCCTCTGTTTTCTCCAACTCGTTCCCCGTCTCCAACACCTTTACCAGCAGAGGTAAAGCTTCCTTTTCTACAATCTGGCAGGCAAATTTGAAATAAACCAGTTAAAGATGGACAAGAGAGACAGTCACTGTAGTAGATCATGAGAAAAAAATTCCCCTAAAAAGTCATTTTTAATACAAAACAATAAAAATTAACCGGTTACTGTGACGCAATGTTAAACAATGAATTTCCAATGGTTTTCACATATTGAAATGCAAACAGTAAAATCTTGTAAAACGGTAAAAGCTACCGGTAGTAGTAGTATCAGCTAGCATATCTAAAATTGCATAACACAATCATTGGTAGCTACAAGTACACATGTAGCATCACATTAAATATTAAGTAATCACTTTCAAATTCTAAATTACTACTATGTATAATAATGATATTCTCAAGCTATCTTGATATAGTTTGATGTTGATAAATATGGTTAAATGATTCTTGCCTTTTTCTTGTTCTTCTCGTTGACTGCTAACTTTGCGAGCCCCTCACACAGCTCCGCTACGCTGAACCCACGAGCTCTCCTATTGGCTGCTTCCAACGCACGACGGAGCATGTTGATCAGGAAATCAATCGCACCTGTGACGAAAAAAAGAAGAGATTATTCAACAATTTGATAACATTTACTAGCTTATGGAATTTTGAGACCATCATTGTCCAACTTTCTTGACCAAAATGTCGGGTATCACCTCAGAGTTCTTGTTAAATTGTGCCTGTCATATGACAAGAGACAACTTGTAAACTAGCCTGGAATCCAACCGTGAACGCTTTATCTCCGCTCCGTTCCTTCACCAGACGTGAAGGCAGAGCGGAGGAACGGAGCAGAGATAAAGCGTTCACGGGTGGATTCCAGGCTACTTGTAAACAGGCCCTAGCTACCAATTCAGGAAGAGGGTTAAAAACACATGTGAACAGGCTGGAGTACCTTAGCCTGAAAAGGGTTAACTTTAAAACACTAGATCCTGTGAACAGGCTTGGAGTACATTTAGATTCTAACCTGTGTCTTCTGCTAACAGCTCACTCTGCTCTTCATCAATGATCTTTGCTAGTGTCATCATGCTGACAGACTTCACAAAGGCATCTGAACAGGTCATGTACGGTCGCAACACCTGGATGGACAAACAACAAGGAAAATATCAAGTACATGTTATCATCATATTTCATTTCCAGACATCTTCAAACATATGTCTTAAAATATGTCTTAAAAATTATGGCTATTACAAGTTGAGTAGCAAACACATTCTATATGGTGACAACCAGCTCCTCCAACTCTGTCCTGCTATTGCTGCATAATGTAACCCAACACCACAGGGTGTCTACAATGCCATCAGTTACCATGGTGACAGCAGTCTGGTTCAGGTCAATGACCTTATATGTTTAGAACAGAACAAGTAGAAGAGGAAGAAGAAGAAGAAAGGGAGCAAAAACAATGTTTTCCTTCTACAAAGGTAAACATGATATTCAAACAATGTAATCTCTAAGGGTATTCAATTAAATTGTGACATCTTAATTGCTAACTTACAGTAGGAGTATTGTATTAAAGGCTATGTCCTCAACATACTAGTACTTTTGTATACAAAGAAGTTCAACTTAGTAGATATCTTTTACAGGAGTCACAAAACCTTGCTTGACATTATCAGTACAAAGTTCAAGCTGCCTATTCATAATTTCCTAACAGGATATTTCTGAATACCTTTATTGTCATGGGAGACATCCATCATGAATCACATGTACCAGAGTCAGGTTTCTAGAGCCATTAAGCTTCCATTAACATGTGACATTAGCCATATGTCCTCTACTTGCTAATAGCTTTTGCAAATCTATAGTTCATCTAAAGGTACGCTATGTAACAATTTGTGGAGAGGACAGGACAGATAATATTTCTTTCACAAGAGCACTAAAGGAACTAACCTTTAGCATCCTATGTTTCTTTTCAGCACCTTCATCTTAACTTATTACCCAAAAGCAATGGAATATTCCAAAGAGGCTAAACATGGGGGTTAAGAAGAAGCTGGACTGACCTCTACTGCGTTCCCCTCCTGGTAGTACTGCCTGTTCTCTGGACACTTGGTCATGTTGTTCAGGATACTGATGGAAGACTTCACCAGATATAAAACATTCTACAGAAAAACAGAGAAAAGTCTTTTGTTAAATTATTATTTTCTCATTTTTAACTAGAGGTCACATCCATTTGTGACATTGGTCAAATCCAAAATTCATACTCAAAACCATTGACATTCCCACAAAATTTGGGCATGTCCAATATTCTTTAGTGTTAGATGTAATATCCATGTATGATTTTATATATATAGATTTAATCCTGTTATGATTTCTACCAATAGAGTTGAAATTTCTTGCTTTTTGTCTAGCAAAGATTCCAGTATATGGTCAAAAATATGTTACAAATATTTGAACAAGGCTGTACAGTATACTCAATTTTTGCTATGTGTATGTAGCAAATTTTTCAGCGAAGAAAACATTGTTGTGGATAGATACCTCAAAACAGAGTTGAAATTTCTTGCTTTCATACCTCATTTGGACTTTTTCTAGCAAAATATCACAAAACATAGGACTATGCCACAAATATTAGAAACAAAACTGTACTCAAATCTATGTAAAACTATGTATGTAGCAAATTTTACAGAGATAAAACATTGGTGATAGATATATTAGATACCTTGCTCTTCAAGTTTTCTCTAAATGGTTCGTGCCCAGCGTTAGCCAATAAGAGTTTGACGATTCCAGCTTCTCCCAGCTTACGACAGAGCAGCGTACTGGCATCGCTGAAGTTCCATGTCGTGTTGTAGGTGTAGTACGCCGCGTACCACGTCACGTTGTCCTTAAACAACCCCTGGTTACCCAGGGACGTCATCATCTTTACAAACAATTCTGAAACAAACAGAAACTTTTTGTAATGGTCATATTGAATTTAGAAATTTAGGAAGAAAAACCTGCATATACCCAGTACATGGACCAGTGCAGGTTAGGTGCAGGTAGACATCAGAAATACCTGCACAGCTCCAATTTTACCTGCACTAACCTGCATATACCCAGTACATGGACCTGTGCAGGTTAGGTGCAGGTAGACATCAGAAATACTTGCACAGCTCCAATTTTACCTGCACTAACCTGCATATACCCAGTACATGGACCAGTGCAGGTTACTAGTAGGTGCAGGTAGACATCAGAAATACCTGCACAGCTCCAATTTTACCTGCACTAACCTGCATATACCCAGTACATGGACCAGTACAGGTTAGGTGCAGGTAGACATCAGAAATACCTAGTACCTGCACAGCTCCAATTTTACCTGCACTAACCTGCATATACCCAGTACATGGACCAGTACAGGTTAGGTGCAGGTAGACATCAGAAATACCTGCACAGCTCCAATTTTACCTGTACTAACCTGCATATACCCAGTACATGGACCTGTGGAGGTTAGGTGCAGGTAGAGTCTGGTAGACATCAGAAATACCTGCACAGCTCCAATTTTACCTCCAGTTACCTGCAATTGAATTATGCCGGAGGTATGTCCAGCCCTAAAATTTGGGGATAATGCAATTATACCTGCTGCTCCCTGATTGGCCAGGTAATCAGCGATGGCCCTCTTGGTCCCTCTCTCCTTGTACTTCTTCTGCCAGTACAGTTCACCGATCGCCTGGACAGCCTTTTTAGATTCTTCATTGTTGTACTCTTCCTTGGCCCAGAGGATTTCCAACTGCTGGTCAATCTTTTCCGCATACCCAGTCATACCGGATTCGTCTGTGGTTGTCAGTGTAGTCACCTAGACATAACTAAAACGTAAGAAAATAATTGAAAGAAAATGAAGATTTAAAACCACTATGAAACTTATCTAGAACAATTTCTTGTTTTGTTTATTAATTCATTATTGTGAAATTCTCGTTTTCATGTTTCAATCTGAAAACCATAATTAACAAGTTTTCCTGATTTGCTAAATTGTCAAAATTTTCATCTTTGCGTATGAAAATTGTATCCACTATCCACTATTATGTTTTTAATTTTATATCCAGACCTGTACCTTAATGAGTTTACAAATAAAGGTATTAGGTAATGCAGCCATATGCAAATCACATCGCTTTTTAGGCATACTTTACTAAAATCTTTAAACCAACAAAGTCCTTGAGGACTGAGTTTAAACAAACATTCTACAGTCAATTGAAATGCCATTAGGCCTGGCTTATTGTGTCCTTCAAGTCTTTGTCGCTAAGTAACTCTGGAATGTTTTGACATTGATTTATTATTGGTATTTAATTGCCTACCTGTACGTGGACGTATTTAAAAGATTCTACCTTTGACATCATGCAAGATAGAAGCACTATACTAAAACAGATTGGATATAACAATTAATATCATGGCAACTTTAATATGTAACATACTCCCTCCCCCGTAAATTTTATTACCTTCTTGAATTTAAAATGCCAAAATCCAATGAGTTTTACTCTCTCATCTCCCGTGTATTATTGGCTAACGATTTTTCCTTGTCGTATGATAAATTTCTACTGTAATTTATAATAACAAATTGATTGTTGATATCATATAATAAATTCAATTTTTACAAGAATTTTGGCTGACTTACCTTGAACACCTTGCATGCGCATGACGTCTTTCGCGTCTTCTAAGTTAGTTTCAAGCTAATTTCATTCCTCCCTGTGTCCCTGGAGCCGTCAACACTCATGTAAAACTACATGTTTTGTACAAAATTGGTAGCAAAACGTAAAACAAGTTGAGGAATGTTGGCGTATTTTCTGGGGAAGCGCTTTTCGCTCGTCGACAATCACACAAAATTGTCCACCACAGACAAACGTACAACACTCTTTTCGGTCGCTATTAGGGCACATTTTATCACTTTCTGACAAAAAAAAGCTATATATTTCATCTATTTCTATACATGTAATATTGAAGGCGATTAGGTGTTTTACTTAAGGTCTTGTGACTGTTTTGTATTAATACGTGTGTTCCTGTCGTTTTCGTGTGATGCGTTCTCACCTTGGAGCCGCTGTCATCAATATTTGTCAAAGGTCAACATGCGAATCTCCAACTCACGGTACAAGGACGCCTCTAGCGGAATTAAGTGAAACTGCAACTAATGTTGCCAAGTAGTAATGCGGATGCTGATCGATCACTCTCTCACCGGTTCAAGTCTGTTGTTCCCCAGTTTGAAAAAAAAAAATTGAACCCTAAAAGCTGGTACTATAGCTAGTAATTACAACAAACAATAGAGAGATGTGCATATCTACGGATTCTTTATTGAGTGAATACCATGATGGGGCATTTCACATTGGCCCAACCAGAATCAACATTACAGGCCATTCTTGTGCGTGCAGTTACAAATGTGGTGTGCTTTTTTGGCAACGCCTAGCAGGTGGAGCTAATAGCCTTTTTGCCGCTCTTGCGCCGAATCCGCCAACTAGCTGATAGGCATTAGTTTTTGATAGATTCGGTTGCATTCTACCTGGAATTTATCATTATTGTGAAGTTACAGATGACCATACATGTATCCTTTTGGCAATGTCTAACAGGCGGAGCTAATAATAGCCTTTTTGCCACTCTTGTGCCGAACTTGCTGACGGGCATAAGTTTACGATAGATTCGGTTTTATTCTTCCTGGAATTTATCATTATTGTGCAGCTAGTTACAGATGACCAGACAAGTATCCTTTTGGCAACGCCTAACAGGCGGAGCTAATAATAGCCTTTTTGCCGCTCTTGTGCCGAACTTGCCAACTAGCTGATGGGCATTAGTTTCCGATAGATTCGGTTTTATTCTTCCTGGAATTTGGTCTTGATGAACTGCAGACGATAATCCATGAGCGGCTTGATGTTGGCCTTGGCGTCGACTCCCGGCTGGGGCAGGAAGATGGCGGTGTACTTCACCTTCGTCTTCTGGTCACTGATCTTCTCCAGCGCCACCTAGAGAATCATTTCAGCATTGCAGTTACAGCTTCTATGTGAAATTCCCTTTCATCAACCTTGGACGATATTGTGTCCCTCATTTTGTCACCACCACTAATTATCTAGAAACAGCCTACGACACGAATCAAATAATAACCCTTTTCAGTCCATTTTTTTATGCCTCACAGATATCTGCATCCTATGGAATAGGGTTCATGCAATTAACTAAAAAAACTGACCAAAAAATTGACTTTATATAATATTTAAAAATCCAGTTTTGCTGCCCTGAAATTGCATTGGATGCACGGTGACCATATATAGTCACAAATTCAGTTTTTTAACAAACAACTGTGATGACCAAATTTGGTCACAATTTCAGATTTGTTACAAACACACGATGACCAAATATGGTCACAAATTTCCGTCGCACCTTTCCGCGGTAGAACAGGGTCTTCATGACGTCACTCCTGCCGAGTTCATAGGTCAGACTGGGCGGGTTGTCCGACACGCTCACCAAACGCTCGTCCAGCGCCCTCTCGCCGAAGAACACCTAGGAGGGTCATGAAAGGTCATCGACATGGCTGCCATAAATTATGATAATGAGCATAAATTATTCACACTTATTATGTCAAATTGTCCCTCGTAGATTAATAGAACTACACATTACAAAATAGCGTCACAAAAAAGCTATATTCGGGGTTAGTTTTGGCTCCATACGGTAAGATTTGTCGCAAAAAACCTGAGGTGGTTTGAGGGTTAATGTAGCCTCCGTAGCAGGCTTATACAACTGGGGGTTTGGTGGTCTTCGGCTGTTTTCTGATTAGCCCAGTTCTGGAAAAAGGGGGTAATTCAACCAGGCCTGCTATGTTGTCTATGTGCAATCAGAAAATAGCACATAAAAGCTCCCAAAGACCCTAAAGACCCCCCCCCCCAAAAAAAAACCCCTCCAGTTTTTGGCATGCTATGGAGGCTCAGGGTTAATGTACCTTCCTGCGCAGGTCGTGTTTCTCCGGTAGGGGGCAGGCCTCGGCGCCGGTGGCCTGGCAGACCCACGAGCAGCCGCTCCAGTCGTCCACCGCGTCCCACATCTTCTTAAAGGCGCAGTCCACCTCAATCTCGAAGTCTAAGACGTTGCCATCGTTGTCCGCAAGAAGGCAGAGAACCTAGGAGAAATAGATAACAAATCGTTTTTTTTAACATTGCAAACTCGTTCATAGTGCAATTTGTATCGTATTCAACATGATATTTTAGTTGAGTTTTTTGGAGTTTACTGTGGTACCCTTTAGCCCCTAGTTGCTAATCTTCCAGGCCTCGATCGTTAACAATAAAGGTACATAAATAGGTAAATATATATACTTTATGCATAAATACAGAATAAAGCAGGTATACGCAATGTACAAATAGGAATTACTAGTACCTGCAAATACAGAATTAACTTACAAATACACACTTAAAATCTCAGTTTTCCAAAAGGTTCTCCTTTAATTTTTTTTCCATATTTTCCTATTAAACTAGAAATCTGAATCGTACCTCAGTGATGCGGTTCCGCAGCATGTACTTGGTGAAGGCAAGTTGAGACTTTCTCTTCTCAGCGTCTTGGACCGCTGACGTCGCCACGACGGTCATGGTCACGTTGGCTGTCTCAGCCGTGTCTTCTTCCACCTTCAAACAGACAGAAAATGCGCAAGAAAACACAAGAAAACTGTCACTCAAGCAACTGGATAGATTTTAAAAACTGTCAGACGTTTCAAGTAGCATCCGCTACAGTCTACTACCACTCGAAGTCAAAGCTATTTATCCATTTGTTTGACTGACAGTATTTTGTATCTCGTTAATGTCTAACCTTCATCGACGTAAAAACGCACATTTACCGCTATTCTACGTACCTTTTTTTCTGTCGCAACGAGGGTGAAATTTTCAAGCACTTACCTTAACCGTAGCCTTGTAGCTGGTAAACATGGGATTAGAACCCAGCATCTCGATGGCCCAAGTCTTGGTGGCGTCATCTTTCTCCACAAGTTCTTCCTTTGTCTTTCCGCCCATGAAGTCGAACTCTATAACCGTCCCCACGCCGCCATCGCCTGACCAAAAACGCAGGAAAACATCTATGAATTTTCTACGGTAAACATTTGTGCGCCACCTTGCGGCTATGTTAATTACTTCACAGCATGACGTAGTGTGTGACGTCACTTCCCATCTGCTGCATGCCTTTCTAGTCGTACATTAACATAATATATTATCATCGAAAAACGTTAACATCCGCAAGAGATGAGTCTGAAGTACAAAACAGAAAAAAAATTGTAAAGCTAATAAAATACAATGTACATGTATCGTGAAACGAATCGGCAACGCCCCTGAGGCGTCGCCAAAAATTAGTTGTTGATTATTGATGATGATGATGATGATTACCTTTGATTGTTTTGGTGTTCTCGTGCATTCCAACATAGGACTGCAACCGGAAGTAGTCATCAAAGGCCGACCAGTACACTTCCGGCGTGACGTCGACAGTGTCGGTGCAGCTGAGGGTCACCACTTTACCGAAGTCCAAGTCATCTGTGTGAAAATAATTATGTTTACCTAAGGAAAACATATTGTTTCTGCTCAGTTTCCTCTTCTTCTCCAAACCAGACTGTCTGTTACCATGGCAACTAGTGTCGGGTTACATCATGTTGCAATGTTATAGCAGGAGGGATTTAGACTCCTGTCTGAATGTTTTTGAGCATGGAGATAGAAAAATGTGTACTACCTCTATGGTTTGAGTAAGAATATATGTTAAGGCAAACATTATGCATTTGCTTTGAAAATGTTACCTTTCTAGAATGTAGAAATGTGCAAATGTATATACAATTACAAAAGCTTAGGTCTGATGTATTTTCATCCATTTTTCGTGAGTATTATATCATGTGTGGTGCTTGTTGAAATTATTGACGGAAAATACAACAAACGAGAACCTAAAACAGTACATGTTGTTATCAAGTCGAGTCGAAGAATCAAGGCTGCTGAAAGTTTATAGTCATGGTGTAAATTGAACTGATCGAGAGCGGCGTCACCTAGCGATAATTTCAAGAACTGTCATCTTTACACTGGAACAGCAACTTCGCTTACTCATGTGACGAAACCCCATTGGTATGTAGAATAAAGTAAACATTGTTGTCTGGATAACACAGTTTTAATTTTCGTCAGGGGAATAGGTCAATTTTAAGGTCTATTATTACGCAAACACAGAAGTAATTATAAAACCCCTCAGGATTCACTTTAGGACAACTGAGGGATTAGGGGCTATTAAGAAGAGCAGGTGTTTCAAGTTAAATCGTCACGTAACGCATCTTAAGCCTGAATGATGTCCACGTGGGAGCTTCAGTACGAAGATACACCATTTATCTTCTTTGCAACCGTTTAAGATTGAATACTATGAATCGTGACCCAAATGTTACACTACCTTTACTCTAAGGCTTACAAAGGAGGTTCAAGTACTTTACTAGGAAATACAAACATGGCGGCAGGAAGTCCTGTTTTCTGCGTAAGTGGGCCAAGGCTGTAATTATGTTCAGGGGTGATATGTCTTAGACAAGGATTTCAAACAACAAATACCAACGTATCCTACCTTTGGGGATGACCACCGTCTTCAAGAAGTCTTGAAATGCTTGCGTCATGGTTTCTTTCTTGAGAAAGGGACTCCAACTGAGATCGTGAGCTTATATGTTTAGTCTTGGCACTAGTTCAGGACACAGTCTCACACCGACGCTACTCAACTGCAGTCTGATGTAAACTGCTGCCTGATTGGCCGGTTGCATATGTAATGTTCAGGCGTGACCACTTGCTAATAGGGAGTATTTCAAAATTGAGCGTCATCGTACCCAAAAATATTTTCTTTTAGTCATGGAGATGAGATTACTGAAAGTGGTTGACATTCGTGTCACGTGTCGAACGTCACACCATTCTACAAGCAGATGTAAGGTTTTTGCTCAATTTTGTTCGTCTTGTTTCTCTATCAAAACGACTCGTAGGACGTCTCTTTTATTTTTCACCGATCCTGAAAATACTTACAACATATATCTGCTTGGAGATTATGATAATGATCACCTTAAACGCCATACGACCTGTTCTAAACCTGATCGAATCCAACATTTTAAACAGTTCAGCAAGTAGGTTAACTTCAGAAATGATACATAACGTTCTTGGTATTACGCCAAACATTCCTTGTCGTCCCGTAATATCATTTTGGGGCATTGTGTTTATTCTTTGGAAATAATGTTTAACCTTTGAGCCGAACCCTAATGACGTTATACACTTGCCTGAAAGTAGAAAAGTGGGTTATGTGCCTTTGGGGAAGGACTATTTTCTAGGCCAAAGGGACATCAACAATTATAAACAGGTGTTCGTACATATTCTCAGCCTTTCTGACTTCTGTAAAACCTCAATAATTGCGAAGGATCTCACATGCACCAATCAGCGATCTAATAGCCCCATCCACCGTCGAAAGGTAGAAATTCAAAATAGAAACTCTCTCATTGGTTGCCATACTATCAACGGTTATTTAAACTGCTGATTGTGTTGTGTTGGGCAGTCTGGATCGGTCTATTGATATCTATTCAAAATAGTATAGTATATCAATAGCAACACAATTGTGAGTTATAGTTTTATTTCATCCTTGCAACAAATGAATTTTAATCGCTCTTCTTTTACAGAATAATTGAAAATGATGATATAATGTTAGCAAAATGTACATGCATCGCTCTTTACCCTGTGTACTGTACATTTCTTAAGGAATTGGTAATTTTGATTATTCTTTCTCTGAAATAAAGGAAAGAAAAGAAATATGCAGAAAGTTGTTTTGCTATACATATTACCAAGAAATAGCAAAATTCTGATACAGAAATCCAATTATGATGCCATTCTACAATTCTTCATAGTGCAATATTTCTTTTCCTTTACTTAGCCTTAACGTGTTTATAATTTTCTACCTAAGTTCTTTCATGTAATAATACAATGCAATACTATACTATACAGTACGGTACAATATTATACAGAAATAAAGTACAAAATTCCATTTACATTATTGTAATACATTAATGGCATGGGTTGATTTAAGTCTTGAAATATCTATTCAGTCGGTACACCTATGGTGAACAGTAGACTGTAGAGTGACCAGTCAGCCGCTAGGTGTCGCTGGCGCTTGTGCCTTCTGAGAAACTCTCGAAGTTCAATCCACCCTCAAAGTAATCTCCAAGCAGATCTTTTGGTGGCCAAAGATAGTATCCAACACGCGGACAGTATCCAGCCGGCCGACAGTATCCAATTGGCCACCGATGGATGGGCCGGCTGTCAGAAAAAAACGGGGCATAGAAAAAGGTCACATCTTCCCATTCAACCTCTGCTTGGAGAGTACTTCAAAGGACATGTTGTCATTTGTTGGCAATTTCGTGCCCTCATATGGATCAAGTGCGCACCTAGCGATTCAGAATAGAGCATCAAGTCAGGATCTCTTAGATCAAATGCATGTGAGGATTTCCTGCTGGTGAACTTCGCTTTGCAGTATTATTTCTCCATGGAGTTCGATGCATGGTGAAATGCATTATGTTACAATTGTACATATTCAAAATGTCCTTCTCAAGATTGCGAAGTGTTTCTTGTCTTCTGATCCTTTTTGGACTCTTCACAATTCGTCTTCGGCCCTGAAAGAAGGTCTTTTCGTCTTTGTCCATTCGATTCTTAACCTCCTTTATAATATATCTACACATCTTCCTTGGGATGCACCACCCGAAGTCCCTTAAGAAAGTCTCTCATGTCTAAGAAGGTTGATCTTTTTCTCAACTGCTTCCCTTTCGGGACTTCCTTCTTCGGTCCGGAGTCCTTCCTCTCTGCCTTCTCCTTCTCCTTGTCGCCTCCTCCCAGTCCGAAGAAATTCGACGTCGACCGTCTCCTCAGCATCTTCTTCTTGGGCTTGTTTCCCTCCTCTCGTTCTTTCACGCGGATGATTCTCACGAGATCATGGAAGGCGTCTCGGACCGACTCGGTGTCGACGGCAGCCGAGACCTCCACGAACCTCCACCCATGCTGCTTTGCGAACGCCTCCGCATCGGATGTCGTCACTTGTCTCAAGTGTGACAGGTCGACCTTCATTTGAATAAATAAAAGAACAAACATTAATCAACAACTAGAAAAGTAGCATTTGCAAAGCAAATGCAAAATGTTTACCTCTTCTTACTCAAGACAATCATAAATATGGTGACAGGAGTCTAAATCCCTCCTACTATAAAATTGCAACATGATGTAACCCAACACCAGTTACCATGGTGACAGACGTCTGTTTTAGGTCATTGACCTTATGTGTTTGGAGAAGAGGAAACTGACAGTGCAAAAACAATATGTTTTCCTTCGGTAAACAGAAATATGCGAAACCAAGGAAAAACAGTGTGCAGGAAGAGAAAAGAAGCCTGCAAGGTTTGTACAATGTCTTCCTCCTTGATACTTTTAATCAAGAAACTAACACAATAAGTTAACTAAATAAAACCTAGATATAACAGAACAAAACTGATTCAAATCGGCGTATAAGCAAACGCAATGCTAAAGTGACAAAATATAAAAGGACATGAAAGTATATATACCTTATTTCCGATAAAAAGGACGGGGAGGTTGGATTTTATTTCCGTCATGTGACCTTTGAACTGTGAGGCGACGTCGAAAGAACCTTGCTCGGTGACGTCATAAACGTAGACTATACCATGAGCTTCGTCCAGATACCCATCTCCTGTTGTAGTCGTCCCCTCCTGGGTTTATCAAATGAAATAACTTTTGTGTAAGTGTATAAATGATTCATAATTCATGTATTATCACCATAATTCAATCTTTAGACTGCAAGTGTGATATGTTTATGTCGAATGTTAAATATAATAGATTATATAAATATATACAAATATAAATAATCGTATTAAAAAACACACCTGTCCTGCTGTATCGAATATCTGGATCTTCATACTCTGATCGTCTATTGTTTCTTCCTTCTCATAGCAGTCCTCTGAAAGCATAAATGAACAATCCCTTAACAAGTGAAACTTTGCAATCCTCTGAAAACACAAATGAACAATCCCTTAACAAGTGAACATACTAACAACCAATATTGCTTGTTTTTGGTTATTTCAAACGCTTCAGGTGTGAAAATGTGACGAAAATGTGATAAAAAAATTTCCTCATCCATAATATTCTTATTTTCTTTGACCGCCCTGAAATTTCATTGGATGCCTTTAAAATTTAAATTCGACCGTTAAAAGAGTTTTCTAACTGTCAGGCATATTAAAGCTACGTACACTGTACCGAATCTCGACTATTTCAGGCCTGTACTCGTATTTGTTATTGTAGTCAGGTGACAATTATTGTTCGGCCCGGGTGAAAAATAACATGGCCGACCCGTACGTGTTTATTTTGGAAGGGTCACGGCTTGGATTGTGTGGAAAGAATGTAGCTTGGCTAAAGGTAGAACATGACTAACATTCCTCCTATGTCTATAAAGCGGCTGTGAGCGGAAGTTGAGAAAACGGATACAAACTAGAAAGGCCGACATTTGCTTGGGAGCAAATACAGCATATTTCAGTCCATCTAAATCCCACGCAAAAGTGGACTATTCCAAACTTACCCTAGTGTAAAACTGGCAACATGAGAGAACACAATATATTTCATCCATACCATGGTATGGACTGAAATATAATTACGTAAGTATTTCGCTGAACTAAGAGTAGTAACATAAGGAAAGGAAAGTGATCTTGATCCAAGTTTAGCTCACTAAAGAGCTAATCCCCCACTAATTGTGACAGAGAAGACGGAGGGTTTATACACAATTTACAGGTTCCTTGTACCAGGAAAGTTCTTTTATCTTTTTTCGACAAGCACAATGAACAGTGGGCCACAGCTTAACGTCCCGTCCTAAGGACTACAACCCTTTCCAGTAGCGTGCATGTCGTGTGAGCGACAACAGCCAGGATTCCAACTCCCAACCTAACCTTAGTCTAGAGGCAGGGTGGCTAACCACTGGACTACGTTCGCTACTTCATGATCACCTTTTGAAAACGTGTGAAAAGACTAGTACTAAACAATCCACGTTTCAAATAAAACATGCCCTTTTCGTCCTAACATGACATGGGACCTATTGAAAGGCACAATCTAATTGGTAAGACTAAGATAAATAAACACAAGTACACACAACACACCTGGACAAATATAAATCAACAAATAGAGAAATATAAAACCCAGACCGCACAGGAAGGTGTTCTGTTAGCAGACTGAACACGAGTTATTACATTTAATTAACTCCCAAGTCACTTCCTAGTAATCAATTGATACGTCAGTCAATAACTTAAGATAAATAAACCACTGTGACAGTTTTAATACACCTGAACCTGGGAATGCAGTTTTAATAAATAATTAAGGCTTGAAAAACAGATTTTTCAGGGTCAGTATTCTAGCCAATTAATTACGAACCGTAAGTTGATATAAAACTATCCCAATGTTTATATTGACATATTCATGGAGCAAAAATACGAAGTTGTGAAATGGTGAGAACTCATTAATCTGCCCGCTTCTGTTTGCATCATTAAGGTAATATGTCACGATACATGTACCAAGACCGGCTGTCTAATTGGCTGTTTACACCCACGTGACTATGACGTATTGGCCGCCATGTTGGATGGTTAAACCCTATAACAGTCATGTAATCATGACTAAATCATTGGCCCCCGTGCCGGCGATTCAACGTGCAGAAACGTGACCACGGGT